TAACTGCCTCAGCAAACATCGCTCGCTGTGGCAACTTATTTAGTGACATGCGTAACACGTCCCAAGCAACGTAATCCATGGAGGTCGATCACTTGCTCCAGTGAACGACCGCGAATGCCTAAAACTCTGCGCCTAAACTCAGCATTGCTCTTTCGGCTGCCCCACCAGATTCGTGCAATGCTGCAAGTAGGATCAGAATACCCTGGTTCAGTAGGGGGACACCTGAACTCTTCCCCTGAATACTTACTTATCATAGTATTTACTTGCATCGGTGATGTACCTATTCGAAAGTGATTTACGGCTTTGAAGGAACCGCATTCCGTAGGTAAGGATGCGAAATAAACCTGGAAGTTATAGGTACGTCATCAGTAAATATCCTATGAAAACATCGCTCGGGCTAACTAACAGCTATGCGTGGAGTATTCCGGGATCTCGTTGGATATCTCTGGCGGACTAACAACCCGGGTAGTAAGTTTTGGTCCAATCATCAGCTATAATAAGCTACTTATGACCAGCTACATTTCTTATTAAACAGTGAATAAACATTACAATTTATACATCATACTTGCTTTCAGGTCAAAACTTCCGTTTTACCCTTCATTTTATTAAAAGTCTTATTTTCCGAATCCAAATTTCATGATTTTTTTTTAATTTTTGCGGAAAATGGCAGTCTTCTTAGTTTTATCTCTTGATCGGTTTGTTGTCAGCTGTTGCTTTGTAGCGACCCGTAATTATTGACTTCCGTCGGCGAGTATGTACATTTTGTGATGCATTTAAAATATATATATATATATGCACATTATTGCTATTTGAAAGTCACTTCAATATTCTTATAAAGTGTATTTAATTTTGATTAGTAACGTAATAGATATCTTCCACAATCCGGCACACATTTCGTCACGTAGAGAGAAAACGAATGGAACGAATTATGACAGGTGTTTCACTGAACCACATCTTTTGTCCATCGTGTTTGTGCAAGTAAATCGTTTAAGTGTAAGGAAGAGCGTTGGTTGATACAGTAAAGCGTGCCGTGTTCACAGACGTGCAAAACTATTTGGCTGTTTGTGTCGATTACGTGGGCCAACTACTAAACAAGACATATTAAATACTTTGTTTCTCTTATCAATTTTCGTACCATACCTTTTTCCTTTTTTCCTTTTGAAGAGCCGTATGTGAATTATTCCGTCTGACTCCGGTAAAAGCAAGAATATGTATACAGATTTTGTTATTTACATTTTGGAACAGTGTGAGAGATGATAATGTGATGTATGACAATGACTAGTAGCGTGAATCATGTGCACTGCTATAGTAGGTATGAGTTCATTGGATGTAGCACAACCATATGAAATTATTTAATCCCATAAAATTTGAGTCAAAACGGCAAATGTCTAAACAGGGATGCCTTATAAACTAAATGGCTGCAATCAGCTACATGTAGCTAACCATTGGCGCTCTATCAGCTACTTTAGTTTAGGTCAGGTCAGGTNAGAGCCCAACTGAGTCCAGTTTCTTGCACTGTGAGCCCATGGTATCTCACTGTGCTACGACAGTTTGGTATTCTCTGCTACATCTATCTGTCTTGAACTGTAAAAGGG